TCAGTAGCTGTTAGGAGATCATGATGAGTAGAACTACCAGTGACTGAGAACAGTAAAGCTTTAGCGGTATCCTTATGACCATAGGCAGCTGCTAAGTGTAATGGTGTCTGCCCTTTTTTGTTAGTAATTAGTAGATTGATGTTAGTAGAGCTGGTTAAAAGTGATACCATCTTATGTTGTCCTCTCATACAAGCAAAGTGTAATGGTGTGTGTAATCTGTAATCTTAAAGTGTAATCTGTAAAGTGTAATCTTTATCTTGTACATTATTAAGTAAGCTTGGTTTAATTTCTAATAAATATTCTAATATTTGAGACTGTTCAGCTGCTACAACAACATGTAGTGGTGTACGGTCTTGATGATTGGTTGCATTAGGATTACAATAATTATTATCAATGAGATACTTCAATACATTCAAGTGACCCCTCTCTACTGATATGTGAACTGCTCCAGACCCTTCATCATCAGTAGCTGATAGATTACACTTCTTACTAATGAGATATTTAATAACTTCTAACTGATTGAAGTACACTGCAATAAGGAATGGAGTATGACCATCTTTAGTGTGAAGTAGTTCAAGTGATGATGGTATGAGTTCTATAATATACTGGATCAAGTTCAATCTTCCATTACTACATGCTAAATGAATAGGAGCCATTCCCTCATCATTCACAGCACACAGATCTAACTGATGATTCTCTATCAGATATTTGAGTATAGGAAGAGAGTCACTGTACTGACAGGTAATGTGAAGAACTGTTGATCCATTAGAAGTCTTAGCTGCTATACATTACACTGAGGAAGACTAGTGAGATAAAGTACAACAGGAACATGGCCTCCTTCATATGCTCTATGAAGAACTGTACTACCAGTATCAGTAGTAGTGGCATTAACATCACACTATTACTTGTTGATCAGTTCCTGCAGACAATGTAGCTTACCTTCATTAGCAGCTGAATGAGCTAGTGTGTACTTGTTATTGATAGTGTGATTATTAATATCCACACTATACTCCTGACTGTACCATTCCAGTATATGAGTATGACCAGTCTCTACTGCTCCATGTATTGCTGTGAAACCATATTTATCAGCAGCTAAAGGCTCAAGCTTATAGTGTTCTATCAGTAATTGTACTAGATCAAGATTACCTGAAAAACAGGCAAATGTGACACATGTACTATCACGTGTATTCTTAGCATTGACATCACATTTCATTTCATTTATTAGAAATGTGACTAATTGAATATTACCACTGTCACAGGCTAAATGCAATGGTATCCCACCATCATTGTCAGTTAAGTGTAGTAAACTAATGTATTGAGGATACTGACTGGTGATATGCTTGATAAAGTGAGTGTAACCTTTTAATAATGAATAATGAATGACATTCCAACCTTTGTTCTCTGTTAGGCTCAGACTACACTTGTAATCCTTCATGTATAATTCCAGTAGTAAAATATCACCAGATTCAGCAGCATAATGAATTGGTAGCTTACCATTACTGTCAGCTTGATGAGGATCTAACTGATAAGTAGTTATTAATTTTTTAACAAGAGATAAGTTAAGAGACAGCGAGGCATAATGTAAAGCAGTGAGGCCATTCTTAGTGACTGCAGTAGGAGACGAACCTTGTTCAGTAATAAGATACTGAACTAAATCAAAGTTACCACTCCATGCAGCATGATGTACTAACGTGCGTCCTTCATTATCTGTTTTATTAATATCGCAATGCTGTATCTCAATGAGATATTGAGTGATATCAATATGACCATGATGACAAGAGTGATGAAGACATGTCATACCTTTATTATCAATGATATTAGGATGACTGTTATGATTATTAATAAGATACTTAACAGAATTAATACTATCTGACAGGCAAGAGTAGACTAATGGTGTACGACCATAAGTATCA